GATCCCCGCGTTGTTGAACACTGCGATATGGTATAGATGGGAATCTAAAAATAAATAGAGAAACGTACTGTCTATTGATGACAGAGAGTTGATTCTAAACCCTACGTGTACTCCTTATCCCTGAGAATGGGTAGGCGTGGCATTCGAACATGGCACAGAACTGGTTACTCGTGGGATATTTCAATTTGAACCGCCATCTTGTTCTTTGTTGGACAAAGATGTAACCACATTTGGGTAAAAATGAAAACAGCTCTCCAAAAGCATAGCCACCACGAGTTTAGGCTTGAAAGTACGCAGCCCTCCCCCCCGCCCAACCTCACCTCCAGGCATTTGCAGCTACTTCCTATTATTCCGTTTGACACACATACGCACACATAGCTTAGAGGAGCAGCTTCTGCTAGTGCATCGTTAACAGTTCTTGAATTCCCTCAACTGGCCATTCGTAATCTGCGTACTTCACGGGACGCGACGCGGCGCAGTTAGAGGCGCATCGATGCGCATGATCACCGATTACAGCCCATTAAATTTTTCGATTTTCCTATTATTTCTGCTAACTATAAGGAAAAGTGACTTATATTATTCGCTCGAATTGAGGTTTATTGTTATATTTGCTTCAGTTCCGCTAATTGGACTCAATTGACGGTGTTTTTACACAGTTTTTATTTTGTTAGTTCTTTTTTTTGCCTTTAACGTTACTTCCTCCATGCAGGTTCGTATGTGTCTCCATTAGTACTAAAAAAAAAACCTAAACCAAATCATAAAAAGTGGTAAAACACTCGTCACTGCAGTCAAATAGCGACTGAAAGCAAAATATACAATAAAACCTCAAATTAGAGTAAATAATATGAACTCACTTTTCCTTCTAGTTAGCAGAATAACAGGCAAAATAGAAAAATTAATCGCTGAAATCAGCTGATCATGCAGCATCGATCGCCACTCCTACTGCAGCCGCCGTCGCGTCCCAGTGAAGTACGCAATTACGGATGGCCAGTCTGAGGGATCACACTGTACTTAAGCCAGTTTGCCACGATAAATCGCTACACAGGTGTAGGATTTGTACAGCTGGCTTAACAGAATTCCGTGACCTCGGACAGGCGCTGCGTGAAGCCTTTTCCAAGGAGGGTACCTCTATAACGCCCTACTTGAGCAACAACTTTACCGTCCCAACGCCTTCCTTGCCCCCCCCATCAAACGACGACTTTCTGACGCTCGTACTTCTTCATTTTGCTGAGCCAAATATGAAGCAAAGCGATGGTATGAAAGCGTCGTTGCAGTCCTGCATGCCATTACATTGGTATCACATTATGGCCAAGCCTATTTCCGTAGCGGTGACTGGCAAGGCATGCTTACGGAAACTCGTCCCGAAATCCATTTCACAATGTCACGTCGCAGAACGTGTGAGGCTTTTTCTTCGCCGGGATTTTGACCGTTTCACTCCGTTCTTTCGCCATTTCCTCACTATACAGCGCCCTACTAGCATTTTAGGCTAAGTAGGAAACCATCGTGCCAACTGCCCTTTAACCCAAGTTGAGCCGAATATAAGGAATTCCCTTCACATTGGTTGCTTTCCAACTCGAGTCCTCTCAAACAGTTGCCTTTTCTTTGCAAATTCATACTGTACCGCTTAAAAGACACATGTACTCTCATACACAATGAGGGTGTTTTTATGAGACTATCAGCCCCACAGATGTCATGTGTCGTGCTCCCCCGCCAAACAGCCAGAATGACTACCAGGAGCCGTGAAACACGCTAATTCCTCCATGCTCCCCCAACTTAGCCTTTTACGGCCAATTCCCGCCTTTCTATAACATCCGTCTAGCGCGCTGTCACGTTGCAGTCCCTCCTGCCACTTTGCAAAGTTTTAATGCCTCTCAAATTACAAGCGAAAACGCAATTTCCTGATCGATAACATTGAGTGCTACATAAATAAAACATAGAAGATGATGACGAGGGCCAGAACTCAAGAGCAACTCGGCTGCATCTGCAGTATCCATCAGAGGCCGCGCATTCCCACAAAACATGAAAATAAAAACAGCCCAAGCGTCCCACTCATTTGTTCTAAGTATCGTCTATGCTGGCGCCGGCATCGGTAGAAATTTTACGAGCCATTTATCTAATTTGCCTTTCCTTGATTTTTTCATTTTTGTTTTACATTTACATCGTTGTGCTTCATTTCTAGCCTGTGTCATCTTCATCTCTCTTGTACATGGATTTGAAGCATGAAAAAACTCGAATTCTATTTCGCATCAGAAATTCTCTTGCTTGTATTAAACTAACGAATATGCGTTTATTTTCATTTCTTATTATACATGTCCTCCTATAGTTGTATATATATTTTGCACTGGCTATCAAGTGCTGACGCGTCGTCGATGCAATCTTCTGTTATCTTAGTTGCCAGCACATATCCCAGTTTTCCGCATCAGTATAATGGTTTTCCTGTATTTAATCGCAATATAATTATGCTCATATGAGTCAATATATCTTCACTCTATCTATCTCTTGCTACACGCATTTTTTTATGAACGACTGATATCTGCGCCCTAAAAACGCAGTGGCGGAGCATGAGAGATTAGTCTCTTGTCGCGCCCTGTTATCCCCATTCCTGGCCATTTTTTTCTGGGTGTTATTCTACTATATCACAGTGCTGATATCTTGTCTTAGTTCATACACCCTCAGTGTAGTATGTATCTATCTATTTGTGTGGTATTAATATCTACCCCCTTTTCATTTATTTCGCCCCTCTTTAGAGCAGTCGTTAGTGTCGATCAAAGGTGGTTATATTCTTAATTTAGCTCCTCAAAAATATTAGTATATAAAATAGTAGGTATTATCAAAAATATTAGGATATTAATAGAGGATAAGAGGGATGCTCCAACCCGCTTGTGTAATTATGCGCCCCACCCTGCTTGCCAGATACTTCTTCTTCTTAGCCTCAAAAGCTTTAATTCCTTTGTTTTCAAGGAATAGTGGCTTATGCCTCATATCCTAGTTTCTGCTCCGCTGACCACGGGCGTCCCTCTCTTCTATACGTTCCTTGGCTGCGCCGGGGGGCGCGGGGTCGGCCTGCGTCGTATTTTCTTTCACATATTTTTATCACTCGAACTGATAGTTCCACCTTTTTTCTTTAATCACTTTTTTCCAGTGTCTGAACTTCTTGACCTGTTCTACAGAATTTGTGTTATCTGCTTCCGCCCACCTCGAAGCATTGGCTCCGCTCTCTCAATTTTGTGCCCCCAAAATCCTCACCGCGCCCTACTGCTGACCTTTAATTCCACGTTTCCTTTCGGTCTTTGAAGAGCTTACTGGAGACGGTTTACGTAATACTTTAGTAGCGCGCTCCGCCCACCTCGGCTCCCGCCCACATATGATTACCCCAACATTCTCAATCGCGACCCCATGCTATACTGAGTTCACTTTGTTTATCCGGCTTCGATCTCTGAACTCTTCACAATTTTTTGCGTTCTGAAGCCGGGCCTTACTCTGGCTCCGCACCCAATTTTGTGCCCACAATTCTTCACTCTACGAACCTCTCTACTCTTAGTCCACTTTTCCGGTCTTCTAGTCTCTGGGCCCGTTTGCCCGATCGCTTGACTCGCTCCACCTCGTGCTCCGCGCTGTCTCGCAATGTGTTGTGCCCTCACAATTTGCGTTTTCTATCCTATCACCTCGCTAGACCTTAGTCCACTTTTTTCCTTCTTCGGAGTCTTCTGGACCTTTGCTTATTCTCTATCTCTCTCTCTTACCTCGGCTGGCTCCTCTCTATCTATTGGCCCCACCAATCTTCACGGAGCGACCCTCTCCTGACCTAGTTCCACTTTTTCCGTCGTCGGATGCCTGGGACGTGTTGCCGATCTTTTGTCTACTCCCCCCCCACTATTCGGGCTGCGCTCGCCCCAATTTTTTCTCCTCTGAATGTTCGTGATCCGACCCACCCTCTGCTGACCTTAGTTCCACTTTTCCTCTCTTATCTCTCGGACTGCTATGTCTTTCTGCTGACTCCGCCCCACCCTCGGTGCTTGCTCCGCCCACAATTTTTGCCCACAATCCCACACGCTACCCTCTGCTGACCGTTAAACCACTTTTTCCGGTGTCTGATGTGCTGAACCTTACAAAACTTTTGAATTATGATTACCCTGCGATTAAGCGCAGCTCTGCCCACTTGTGGCGGTTCTTCCAATCATCACTTTAGCGTGCCCTATTATCGCCCAATATTATTTAACATTCTACTCTGATTTTTCGATTCAAATACACTCTTCGCTGAAGCAGGGTAACCGAAGTTCGCCTGAGAGTTAGCACCGCCCACCTTATGAGTTACGCCGCACCTCAATTTTTGGAACATGTCTTCACAGTTAGTCTGGCGACTCTGTACTAAACATTAATCCTTGTTCCCCATCTTTATGCCTGGCTCCGCGAGAGCGATTATGCACCGTTTTCTGCGAACCCCTAAAACTTCGCGAGTCCCCGCCCACTGTGGGCTTCCCATAGGTCACGTGTGCTTCTATTCTCTGTCCATGTCCCTACCCATCCCCACTGACTCCGACCTCTCCTAAGGCGTTCTTCAGCGAACCTGATTTTCTGACATGACAAACTTACAAACAAAACAAACAAAACAAAACAAACAGACGAAATCGCGAATTATGAAGCTGATATAATACGTGATCCAGTAGTGAAGAAAAAAGCAGAAAAAAAAATCATGGAAATGCCCTATATAGAACCCTATGCTGGCCAGGTGGGCGGGGCGGCCGACTCTTCACTAGCGAACGGCGCTGTCCTCTCGCCTTTTGAGATGCAAAACTAGTACATACTGCATCCTCATAGGGAGGGCCATGATATCCAGAGAGGGCGCGGGAACATCAAATGAACGTGGGCGCTGCCTTTAAGTTTGATGACATTAGTGGTGAGGTTACCGACTGCTTCGACTCTCAGCTCTGATTCTTTGGAAAGGGGTTCGGTGCTCTGCTCAGACGAAGCACTGTGGCTAATGATGGAAGAAGAAAAAAAACCACAGCAGTCGACGCCGGAACCACTTCTTCTGAAAATAAATAGGGCATGGCAGTCTGACTTACATTCCTGATCATCTTCGCTAGTACTTCTTTTCTTTCACATCCAATTGTCAACTCTGAATTGTTCACCGGCATTTCCAATATCGCCTCCATCAAACTGCTTCCTACAAACAGTGGTAGTCAGAAAAGAAATCATCACAGTTCTCGAGGTAGTATACTGACTGGTACTTTGAATAAAACGTCAATCATTAATTCTCAGGATGAGTCAAGCATTTTTTTTCATTCACAATCTGAATGCGATTTCACCTTTACACTGATGCGTGGGGGACAGCTAATGGCCAAGTCTCTGTGGTCGTTGATGATCACTTTTATTTGAATTTAGTACCAATTAGTCACGCCTGAAGAGTAGAGAAAGTGGTTCACCAGGCCTAATCTTCCAATTGGTACTCAAACAGTATTGGATAGAGATGGTTATCATAGATGAGAAGAATGAAGAACACGCAAAAGTAAAGTAAGGAGGAAACATTCGCGGAGTTCAAAGCGATGGTGCGCCTCATACTCCAGAAAATAAGATGCAACCATGCGCCATCCCTTGAAGTGCTCATTCGGAATTTCCGAAAAATCCTATCTTGGTTTCTTTTTAGCTGCAATAATACAGAAAAACATAGTTACTGCTAGATTATTTTATCGGGAACTGCATCGAGGCGATATCCCATGCATGAGATTTTGAGATTTTTCCAGCTTTTAAAGAAGGAGGTAGTTTGTGTAAGAAATTCACCTAAGAACTCTGATTCCAGCAAAGCCTGTGAGACCCATCTGTTAGGAGATAACCAATGCGAGTAAAACACAAAGGATTGCCGCTCCGCTGGATGCACAACAAGTCCGGATGTCAAATGGGAAATAGTTAGGAGTACAACTAAAACATCATTGTTCTAATGAATCTAAATGAGCACAGTGTGCAGGATTGAAGGGCTTACGAGTAATAAAAAATGCGTAGCTGGAATTCGAGCACAGGAAGACGAGAGCCTTGGAGATCAGTCGCCACAGAAGGAGATGGACGAAAATGATGACGAAGACGGACAGTATCCATAAAAACTGATTGTCCGACGAGATGTTCATCCCTGAAAAGCTGGATTCAGGTGGGAACAACGTGGGTGAAACATGGGCCTCACCGGTTAGAAAAGGCACCGGAACGGAGTAAAAGACCGCGGTAAGTGTGAGCAAAGGCAGCTCCCAGAGGAACTGAAATATAAAAACTCAAGTATTCATGTGTACAGAATGACTCTATACGTCTGATTCGGAAGACCAATGCGCCACTCAAGCCTTTATTTCTTCACTTTTTCTTCTGCATTTCCCGAGGTGTCAAATGTAGTCATCGACACAAAAATCGGAGACCAGGAACCCTTATACTTCCCACGCAGGGGACTTTATTGATTCTGGATGATATTATAACGGGCTGAAAAATGCTTTTCGAATGTCTTCTTCTCGATTTGACTATTATTCACTTTACTAGTGATTCTTCAGTTTTTCGATACCATTCAATAATACGTATTCTGCTGGTTTCAGTGCGTATTCAGTAGTGGTATCAGAAAGGGTTGGAGATCTGAATGGGTGGAGTTTCTGATCATTGCACATGCCTACCTCCCTAGCCGCGCAGTTTTGTGTGACGAAGATGGCGCTCACCTTACGGCTGCGGGCCTACGTTTCTTGATAATTGAGGGGAAGTTTCTTCCAATTACAAACCCTGTATTGAATTATTGCTGCTGTTAATCGTTGCAGGCAGTGTGTGTGCTACTGCAATACCGCTTGCGGACGTAACAAAACCGTTTGGTTTTCCGTTTTTCGAAGAGTTTAATTACCGGATGTACGCTTCATTCCGCGCGAAGGGCGTGGCAACGTACTTCCCCTTTTTATGACGTAAGATGCGTTTTGTTGCGGGATCACTGACGCTTTGTATTGTTACTGACAAGAATAGGTATTGTGAGCGTAAGTGCTGAGGCAGAAGTCAGGCATCAGCAAGGATCACCTCAAGGATTGACGAAGAGTATTGTGGAGGCTCCAGATCTCCGAAACATCTCGAAGACGGTTTGCTTCTGCTTACCGGCTGAAATTCAGAAATATTTAATTTCAAAAATGAACCAAGTCAAGCTGCACCTGCTTCCCGTCGAAAAAGTAATTTCGGATTGTTAATAGCGTTTTTTCATGTAAATAAGGTGCATCATCCAAATGCTCACCTCTGTGCACAATGAGGAATATTAATGGGATGAGTCCGAAATAGGACAGCGACAATACCAAACCAATTCTGTCGCTCGCAGCTGCTCGTTTATCTCTCGTCATAGAAAAGAAGGCTGCACCAATAAGGCACGACATTAATAGGGCCATTAGCGGCTCATAGAGTGAAGTCATTGGCTTATTCGTGAATTCGTACCAGTTTCGCCTGCAACGATCATTAATGACTATTAGAATCTCTATTGCAGGTAACTGAACTGACCTGCACACTGCTTCTACAACATCAATCATAGAAGGTCTGGAGAGCATGGGTGAAACTGTCGATTTGGTCACTTGAAGTGGGGCTGCTTTCAGCGCCTCCCAGCACTGAATTAGTTTAGCGATTCGAGCTGAAGACTCGGCGGAGGCTGCTGCAGACTGGTGGTCGTGCGTGGCGAGGTCCACTAAGAAACAAACGAGGTTATTTAGCTGTCTTCCTCACGCACAGCCGTCCATTGTCAGCGCTTGAATCGCAGCGTTTGGGTCCCATACGGTCCATATCTGAGGGTGGAATGGGGCGTTCCCAAAAATAAGGTGGTGAGAGCGACGGCGGCTTTGTGTCTCCAAACGGAAAAGAGGCAAAATACGCTACCAAAGAAAAAAGTCGACAGTATGAATGTGCAGCCCTCGGTTAGCTCACACTACGTACACACCTATGTAGTTTCGCCATTCGCTAAGGGCTGTATCTCGGCATTGAAGGGGTGTCGCTCTGGCGTGCATGAAAGGGTCAGGTCAAGTCAGGAAGCGCATGCACCTCTCACTCAATTTCTTCTTGTAGTGGGTATTGTATATTGAAGCGCTCACAACATGCAATCCTTTTCCAGTACGAAAATGTAGAGTGTATCGTCAGATGTCAGAGGAGTTGCTACTAGACTACTATGAGGGTTTTATGACACTGTAAGGCCCACCGGTTCGGAAAAGTATTTTACCAGAATGTTATAAAATACGATGTCCTCGAGATGTAAAAGAAAAGAAGCAAAACGTACCAATGTTTAACAGAAATTGGCCTCACCATAGAAATCGCATGGATTTTTGAACTTTGGACACGGGAAGTCGATTGATGTGAAATAATGTACCATTTGGGTTGGAGGGCCGCAGTAGACTATTTGCCCAGAAGTTAGCAAAGCACCTGGAAAATCTTCCCCGTCTCGGAATTGCTTATTGAAGAGGCATATAAGAAGCCATCGCAAACCAGTACATTGTGAGAACATTAAAAGAATTTCAAAAGAAGGAGGTGCGATGGCCAGGATGACGATTCTGTTGAGTTTGATTGCCCAGTCTCGGAGGTAGTCAATGACAAATGCCATTTCGTAAATGTCCATATGCTTTGTCACGTTGTCAATGATCAAAATATCTGAAAAAAGAGTACGGGTACGTAACTTTTGAATGATGGCCACTATGAGCTATATTTCTTTCCCACCTGGTGACAAAAAATAAAAAAAACCAGTTGAAATATGTCAGAACTTTTGCGCACTAACCTAGAAGCAAACGCTTCAACTGAAACATCTTTTGCATGGGTCTCCACTAACCTGTGTCTTTGAGAAGTTGCGCAGCTATTTTCAAGCGAACCAGTTCAGCTTTTTTGAGGCGGGAACAAGGTGTATGACGCTGATGTGCCAGAGCTAAAGTCGCCACCAACTGGTCGATCTAGAAATTATTTATCATGTGTTCAAAATCGCTTTGAGGGAGGCATTATGGTAAGGATAGAGTTGTGTACGTTTCTGAAAATGTTGTGAAAAAGGCTGAGCGAAACAAATGGGAACGTTATGGGATTTGAAATACATGAGATTTTTCACAATTTTGGATTGTTTATCTCTCAGGACGAGTTCAAATAAAAGTCCAACAATGTCCAATGAACCAACCATGTTTTCGATCTTGAAAGCGCGGGTTGCTGGAGGATGAAGTGCAGCACTCAGTCGCAAGTATTCGACTACTGTAAACGATTGCGGTAGAGAGTCCGACGTCACATGCGCTAAAATGGGATAAAGTACTCTCAGTGTTGATTAGCGGATACTAGCTAACCAAGGAACTGCATGCCACATGTTATTCTTTTACATATTTTCGCTTTCAGACAAAGAGTAGAACCGGGCGATCAGAAGCGCCACGAAAAACTACGCTTGGCCAGGCGCCAATCAGACACGAGGGAGCGGAATCAGTATTCTGAATCTCGGATCCGTATTCTGCCTACAATTCGTTCCAAAGCCCTAGCGCGCTCTATATTTGAATTCATTAGCGGACTACAAATGCTTATCTCTCAGAAGAGTATTTCGTGTTTCTTAGCGCCAGCTGAAATGGTCTTTATGGGCTCGTCGTCCATTACGTGTGTGCTGTCTTCACTCGCTTCACATCAGTTGAGACGCTGGGTAAAGGTACTAGCTGAGTACTTCATCTGAACGTGACGGCGGCTGCGCTTTTGGTGTTGTATTGTAATATTGGGACAATTACAATCATGCATTTGCCCATGCACAATGACAAGATGACAGTTATTCAGAACTGAAAATATCCCGAAAATGGCCATTTACCACGTTCGAATGAGGTACGAGCCACGCCTACCGCGTTCCAGGAATTTCAGTTGTATGTGCATGAGCCTTTAATGCACATTGCCTACCAAACGGCTTCTTCACCAGATGGTTAGGCTGCGTTTATACTTTGCGGCAGCGTAGCGTAGCGCTTCCAGCGTACGCCAGCGGCAGTGCCGAAGAGAGGATGCATATCGATCTAGCTTCACCAGCGTCACCAGCGGCACGCTAGCGCACGCTGGCGTAGCGAGGGCACGGGAAGCATAGCTATCGATCTAGCTTCACCAGCGTTTCTCGAGCGTTTCTCCAGCGGCACCAGCGTTTTGCTAGCGCTTGCAGCGGCAGGGAGTAGAGACTATGTGGCCGTGAGAGACGCGGAATCGACGTATTGTAGAGACCATGTGGCCGTCGGAGACGCAGAAGCGATGTGCATTGTAGAGACTATGTGGCCGTCGGAGACGCAGAAGCGATGTGCATTGTAGAGACTATGTGGCCGTCGGAGACGCAGAAGCGTGATGTGCCTTGTAGAGACTAAGGCGAGTGAGAGACGCGCAATCGCATGTGTTTTTGGTACCCTCCAGCCTCTACTCCCCTTGCCGCTGCAAAGCTCTGTGAAAACGCGGAGCTGGGAGAAACGCTGGCGTACGCTAGCGTGCGCGCTAGCGTGCCGCTGGTGACGCTGGTGAAGCTAGATCGATATGCATCCTCTCTTCGGCACTGCCGCTGGCGTACGCTGGAAGCGCTACGCTACGCTGCCGCAAAGTATAAACGCAGCCTTATACGGTTTATAGCATCACAGTCCATCCGGGCCGGTGTGAGGAGGTTGGGATGAGCCCGACTCCGGTTGCCTTGCTCTACCGATGGTAATCCGCTTGTGATCCATTCAGAATTAAAACACCTGTGCGGGAAGCGCCGCAGGTTGGGCGAAGGTTAGCGGACAGGCTCGCCCTCATTGCGACCCGACTGATTGTGGTGACCATTTCTCTGTGACTAGCAGTGTGACTCGAATCTCTAAGTTTCGCCAGAAGTCTCTTTCACCACATATAGGGAAAAACCGAACCTGTTCTCGATGTGAATTGATGGTGTTTCAGACGATGACCATTTATGTGGAATTCACCTGCCACTCGGCCGTGGACTGTAGAATCACTACTAAGCCCACTGAGAAGAGCTCGAACCTCCTTTTCTGAATATTTAAATATCAGAAGAGCAGAAGAAACCTAGACTGCATCATATTATATACAAAGGCGCCAGCGCGCCTTTTTGTAAAGCACTGTAAATTAGCAAGCTACGATTCGCAGCCTTATAGGAGTTAACGGGAGTTTATAAAATTTGTCAATGTCAGTGACGATAGGAGTTTTTTTGAAGTGCTCCCTTCCCAGCCTCATCTGAATCAATGGTAGCGCTCTAGCGAAGCTAGTGGAGGGGAGGTGGAGTAGAGGCAAGAGGGTCGCTCAGCACACAAGCGCGGTCCGGGGTCTTATCAGCTGAGCTTTATGCCCTCCGAGGAGGGTAAGTTGGTAACACACTTGTTCGGGAAGGTAAAAATGCTGGCGAGTACATCAGTGGTCCCATTGGCCATTGCATAGGTTTAGTTTCTATTATTCGTTGATCCTCAGCCCTTGTGAATGGAAGTAGATTGCGTGCCCTATCCCAAAATAGGATTGATCAACGGCAAAAGTTCCAGCACTTTATCGTTCTCCTTTGCTAGTGGTGAAACTGTTAGCACTCGCTTTCCGAATGAAAGCACAAACTGTCGACATGAGGTGTAAAGCTCATTATCGATTACGGACTCTCGGGCGGTACAGCCGCGCTACACTGTGACGCGACAGCGGCTGCAGCTCGGTGACGGTGAATCAGCTGATTTCGACGAAATTCGGCTGCAAATTCCCACTTTATCAGCTCTTCAAGCTTCTAAAGTGGAAGGTGAGTTATTCTGAACAATTTTGAATTGTACTGGCTCTGATTTCCTTTATTTTTATGTCGATTATTATGCTTTTCCTTGTATTTTGCCTTATTTCAGGCATTTATTCAAATGGCTTACATTCTTTCAGATTCATTCAGAGTCAGTACAATTTAAAATTGTTCAGAATAACTCACCTTCCACTTTCGAAGCTTGGGAGTTGAGTTGAGTTGAAAGTGCGAATTCCGCCAGCCGAAATTTCATGAAATTCAGCGGTTCGCCGTCACCGTGTCGCGTACATTGCACGCGCGGCTGTGGGGCCCGACAGTCCGTAGTGATGAGGGGGGGGGAAAACTGCTACTTCGGGAGACCATCGTTGTGGCTGATCCGAAAAGGGAATCGGGTTGCACAAGAAGCTAATGAGTTGAAGGCAAACTGTACGTTCACCTCCACGGATCCTGGTCCTTGCTCACTGTGGGCTAAATCGGTCGGTAGTAGCAGCAGTGCCACGTTCCCCGCTCAGAAATGCACGGGAGCGGAAATAGAGGGTAGTACTCATACTCCGCTGCGCTGCCGCACAGCCGGCCAACCATAGCCAGACGCGCTATTTTTCTATGTCCTCTCACTTTCTGGTTGTCTCTGACGCTGATGTGCTGGTTTTGTTATGATAACTGCTGTTTAACGCCGCAGTACGCGTTCCGAATGTTATCACAAGAATGCTGAGTTGTGGGCAAAAGTCGTGCCCCAGGCGGGAGTCGAACCCGCACCTCACGCTTTCCGGGCGAGTGCGCTATCCGTTACGCCACCAGGGCCGCTTTTACCCTCTCAGCTTAACGGCTTTTATGCCGTAGCCTATCAGCACTCACACGTTTAACTTGGTGAGCCGGTCAGCCGTAATCGATGGGATATTCCGATTTGCCCACAACTCAGCATTCTTGTGATAACATTCGGAACGCGTACTGCGGCGTTAAACAGCAGTTATCATAACAAAACAGCTTCAAAAACATCTAAAGCCTTCGGCCTCGCGGTTTCATGCCGATATCCCATCGATTACGGCTGACCGGCTCACCAAGTTAAAAAACGGGAAGTGCACTTGCTGTAAGGCTACGGCATAAAAGCCGTTAAGCTGAGAGGGTAAAAGCGGCCCTGGTGGCGTAACGGATAGCGCACTCGCCCGGAAAGCGTGAGGTGCGGGTTCGACTCCCGCCTGGGGCACGACTTTTGCCCACAACTCAGCATTCTTGTGATAGCTGAGAGCAGGGTTTGTTGCGGGGTCTTAGTTCCAACGCGGCCTGCTCAACATAAGGATCAAGCGCGAATGTGTGCGGCTCCGCGCGTATGTTACCCTCCAGCTTCCGTTTCCATGCGCATTTTGAGGTATAAAGCTGGCATATTTCGGACACCTGCTGACGCATTAGCCCAGCCCATGGTAAGGTCGACCGTAATCGAAAATGAGTGTGCAACTTGTCTTCATGGAGGAAGTGCTGACAGCTTGAGGCAGGAAATGCTGTGGTGGTTCCTGCAGTTCGCCACAACGTGGATCTCCTACACTAAACCTGCTGCAATGCAGTTGTCATCAAATAGCCTCAAGCGCTTCCCTCATTAGAACAACGCAATATTCATCGTGCATGACTGCTAATATAGATCCCAAGTTTAAATACCAATGCCAATTATTATCCAAGTCCGGGACTTGTCTTTCTTAACCTCGGCATCTGCTTTTTATATGTTGTTATAGAGTTTTTCTTTTGAACTGCTTAGACGAGGTTGTTATGAATGTTTATCGGCTGACGTTTCGGCGTTCTCGCCTTCTTCGGAGCCTGAAAGGGTCAGGCTGAATTAATGATCTCCGACCTACCATCAAAGCACGCCCTACCCTTTCGACCCTCCTCTAAGTCCAGCACGTAATTCGAAAGAAACAACCAACATACCTCAACCGAATTCACCAGATCAAACGACGAGCCTCGGTGATAGAAGTTTTCGAACTGAGACTATCCAGAGCCGTTAAATGCTAATCTTATATAGGGAGATAGCTCTCGCGTGATTGATAAGCATTCTCCCCTTCGGTTCATTCTTGGATTCCTGACCTGAATCCAGAATGCTTCGAGAGTTTTTCGCGCGGAAAGTTGGTCTTCGCGCTCTAAAATCTCTACCGTGACTCCAAAATCGTCTCCGTTATGTTCTTGTACCCTGTGGCATCCTAATGGGGTTGATACACGCAGTCTAGACTTTCCATCCAGATGCTCCTTGATCCGCACATGGAGTGGTCTAGCCGTTTCACCAATGTATTCGTCTCCGCAAGATAGACAGGAGATCTTGTAGACCACACCTGTAACTATGCAGTCTCCTTCCCTGCCAGCAGGGCAAACTACACAATCAGGGGTGACACATGTGCGATCGTAGAGGCGGTTTCGAACCAGGCGACGTTTTAGGTTATTAGGAGGAACCTCTACTAACCCAACAATGTTCTGTAGACCCGATCTCCTCAGGCATTTCTTTAATTATTATTATTATTATCAAAAAATTCCCACTCACCAGAGGTGTACATAATAGCAAAGATGTCCCCTCCATTCAAGTTGAAGGAAATGCCTTGTAACTAAAATGCTAACACAATGGAGGAAGTAGCTAAGTGAAAGCTGGAACTACCAGATAGCGACGTTTGGGCATTCGCAGTAAGAGGCGTTCCCAATTCTTTCGGATGTCAACAGAGAGGCTCAGCTGTGAAACAGAGATTATGGGCAGCTCTCTGCAACTTCGCTCATTCTTATCCCCGTCAGGAATACTTTTCCTGTATCGGCAGCATTAGAAAAAAAACTAATAAAAGTTTCAAGTTCCAATAAAATTAACAATTTTGAATCAATCTGATGGCACTCCACAGAGTTTTTTTTTCAAATCTTCCCTGGGCCGATCCTCTTTAACCTGGAGATAGATGAATTTACCCACGTAGCCATGTAGCAGTGTGTGCGGTAGCGACCGCATACTTCTGAAAGTTGCCGGTCAGAGCAGAGCAGGCTGAGAGGTGCACGCGCTCTTTGTGTCCCTCTCTTCTTGAAGGCATATGGCGGGATAATTTGGTACTCGCTCTAAAATGCTAACAGGGTGTTATGGAGTAGTAAAATAGCGAAAAGACCAAGTGAAACGGTCGAAAAGAGCGAAGAAAGGCTTTCTTTCTCAAAGACTCGAAGCATTTTCGGACGAGTTTCCCGTAGGCATCTTGCCAATAACCGCTACGGTAGGTACGGCTGCACGTATTACTCATATATCCATGCAGCACCGCGGCCGCTTCATATCAATCCCTTCGCTTCATATTTTACTTCGCAAATGAAGCAATACGAGCATCAGGTACGGTCGTCCATTTGTGGGCGGGCGGGTGCGGTGGGCGTCTGGGTCGTTTGTTGCAGCTCGTTAGGGCGCAATAGAGGTACGTTCCTTGGCAAAAGTGCAACCCCAGTGCTTGCACATGAGTGCCGGAATCTCTCCTGCTAGACGTATCAATCCTACACTTCTTGCAGGTTTATCGTACTACTTGCCTTCAGGCTCTCGCTGTCTACTCCCCTGCTTGCAAAATTACGCCTAATTACAAGGTTGTTTACAAGGTTACAAGGTTAAGCCGGCAGAAGGTTACCAGCACGCTCACAACTAAGTAAGTCGTTGGCACACCCCCTCCAACTGGGGGATGTACACTGTAACGGGAAACTGTGTAAGAAGTTTGGGAACGCAAACTATCTGAATATCACAAGAATGCTGAGTTATGGGCAAAAGTCGAGCCACAGGCTAGAGTCGAACCCGCACCTAACGCTTTCCGGAGAGTGCGCCACCAGGGCCGCTTTTACCCTCTCAGCTCAACGGCTCTCAGCCCGGCTCACCAAGTTAAACGTGTGAGTGTTGTAAAGCTACGGCATAAAAGCCGTTGAGCTGAGAGGGTAAAAGCTGCCCCGGTGGCGTAACGGATAGCGCACTCGCCCGGAAAGCATGAGGTGCGGGTTCGTCTCCCGCCTGGAGTTCGGCTTCTGCCCATAACTTGGCATTCCTGTGATAACATTCGGAATGTGAACTGCAGCGTTATACAGCAGTTATCATATCTGAATATCGCTACCTAATTCCGCTCTGCCTTTCCCGTTTGTATCGTTGATAACCTAGATAACTGTATCCTGACGGTTCCATGGGATCAGCATCTGAAGCAAGCTCTCCACTGTGTCGATTCGAGGGCAAGGAACGGCTTTCTCTCGATAATCTTGAAAATACTATCTAAACAGAAACTTAGCGTAATCAGTCCACGATCTAGTTGACCAAGTACTTTCATGCAGTGTAGAGGTCCAGTTTTAACCGCTAGGTTGGAATTTCAGTAATCTTTGACAAGAGTACCAATACCTTTTGTCTGCCTGGACTTTCCGTTTCTTAGGGGCATCCACTCGTTTCAGCAGTTGATGTGACATGGTGGAATAGATCGTGTCACTTCTATCCACTCCTGAAAAACTGATAAGCTAAGAAAAATAGTAAGCGCTACACCGTTTTGACTAGTCACCTGTTACTGTCCCTGGCATACTCAGCGTTAGCAATCCTGCGCAATACGCCACGTCATAAACCCGTTCTGATGCACCGTGTTCTGCATGAGAAATATCACCAACCACACTCAACCTCTGAATGATAAGCAATCTGTACATGGATTGGATCCTTGCTTACTTTGTTTCAGAAATACTCAAAAACGGAGTTGGTGAACTAGCAAAAGACACGCTTACCACGCCCGCGGGTTAAATCCCGGCAGCTTCAGCCAGGTCAACCAACAACCTCGGCCCCCAGGGATGGAGAATCAGTATCCGATTCGTCTGTAAGGGTAAGAACGCTGACTTGTACTTTGACTGGCCTCCGCAAGTTATTCATAGGCTACAATGCATTCAACCCTTACGACTCTACATGGAAGTAGAATGTGGTGTCGCATTTTATAAAGGGATTGATCAACGGTGATGACTTTATGTTTAATTACATAATCTTCAATTATTGAAGACACGGTTTCTCCCAAGGAAAAAGAACGTTGCTGCTTGTGAAGACTTTTCCAATCTCTGGATGATTGTGCGTTTCAAGAGCTCCAAATTTATTTAGTGGCCTCGCAGCCTTGATCAGAGTGTTGCATACCAGCCTTTGCAAGAGGAAATTGGGCACAATTCGACCAGTGAAATATGTATGAAGGATGAATTCTTCGCCGTAGATCTATCCCTTTGCGGGACCCAGCACACATTCTACTTCCATTTAGAAACGTAGTGGCTTAGTGAAAGCGATGTGGCCTATAGCAATGACTTGCGGGGGCCAGCCGATGTACAAGTCAGTGTCATTTTCCTCCCAGACGGAAATGGTACCAGTTTACCGTCCCCGAAGGGTGCAAGGCTTGTCGGGATTTCATACACAGAACGTGCGCGTGGTTCTATAATCATTATGACTCCAAAACTGTATATTCCAATAGCATGAAGAGATCTAATGAAATGAGCTTAATCTCGACTTACGACATACGGTTGAGAGTTCAGAAATAATATAATTCATGGGAATTTTGTTTCAAAAAAGATGTTTCTACCTTGGTTGTCGAGAACCTTTCTTCAACTGATCCACCTCCATTTTCGGTTGTACACTGACGAAGTCTCGAGGGTTGAGCGTAGATGGGAATATTGGGTAGAAGCTCTTCTTGTGCCATTCTAAACCGCTGTCACGATGTTAACAACAAAGAACGTATCAAAACGAGCATGCTATATCATTCTTGCTTATTATATGGGCGGACACAAAAAACACCTTCGTTGTAGCGCCCCTCCTACGTAATTCTTCAGAGGGAAGGGTGGTCCATTATTGACTGGGGCACAAGGACGGGCCTGACTGCGCCTTATGTGCCCTCTGACAAACATAATGTTCCTGAACGATCCACATGATTCTCTGTCTCCGCCCATATCATCTCTTCTGACTGATGCGAAACGTGCTGTCATCAGAAAAAATGCGTGGATTTTTGAGTGAAAAGTGGCAGTTATTCTTCCCAAGGGAACAAAGTGCTCAGAGTGCGATACATAGAATGGAAGTTACAACTATTCGCACAGATAGTACAGTCCTCATCATTACGTACTGTCGGGCACAGCCGCGCTGCACTGTGACGCGACAGCGGCTGCGGCTCGGTGACGGTGAATCAGCTGATTTCGATGGAATTCGGCTGCGAATTCCCACTTTTTCAGCTCTTCAAGCTTCGAAAGTGGAAGGTGAGTTATTTTGAACAATTTTAAATTGTACTGACTCTGAATGAATCTGAAAGAATGTAAGCCATTTGAATAAATGCCTGAAATAAGGCAAAATACAAGGAAAAGAGCATAATAATCGACATAAAAATAAAGGAAATCAGAGCCAGTACAATTCAAAATTGTTCAGAATAACTCACCTTCCACTTTAGAAGCTTGAAGAGCTGAAAAAGTGGGAATTTGCAGCCGAATTCCATCGAAATCAGCTGATTCACCGTCACCGAGCCGCAGCCGCTGTCGCGTCACAGTGCAGCGCGGCTGTGCCGCCCCGACAGTACGTAATGATGAGGACTGTACATATATCTTGCGCACAGTCATGAAGTCTAGTTGGGTCAGCCTACTATGGAACTGATCTGCACTCATCCTGATCGTATTTCTAGGTCGCTCTGAGCCCTCAGTGACGCAGCCTGCTCAGGAAGGCAGTGGAGAGAGGGTGGGGGGAGGGGGAGATGCACCTCATTAGTTTGCCAGTTTTTTTTGCATTCCTCGCCCTTTCGAGACCTGTTAACCCTGGGAAGTGGGCCATGCTTCGTCGAGCTGTTTTATGGGACCTGCAAACCGCTGTAAACTCATACGGCACAAGCTTCACTATGTGTGGCTGTATTAGCTTCAAAAGAGTTTACAGATCTTGACGAGCTCCTGCGTACAAGCTTCGCTGGGCGCCATTTTATTGTTCGTTGGGGTTCACCACGGTTACGGGGACTAG